CAGCCAATGCCGCCACCAGTACCGCAGCAGTCCCCGCACTCCGGCAGGGCTCTGCCCTCTGCTGCTGTCCCTGGGCTGGCCGTCGTGGAGGGGACCAGATGCTCCTGCCACAAAAGCCACCTTCAGCAGTGCTCGAGAAGGGACCGAGCTGGAGCAGCTGAGCGGGGAGCATACGCCAACCCTAGATGGCTGCTGCATTAACCCAGCACAAGCTCTGCCAGCACTCGCCTGTCAGAGGGTTTAACCGGCCACTGAGAGCCGCCCACTGCCCCAGCAGCTCCCGGGACCCAGCCCAGCAGGCTGCCACAACAACGTCCTCCCCAGCTGCCCTGGCTGGGCATCCACAGATCTCCTCCTAGCCAGCATCACCTGGGTCGTGGGCTCAGTTCAACGGCAAGGATCCTGTGCCACCCCTCTCTAACATCTGTCTCCCATCCTCCCTCCTTTCAGGACAGCCTGTCCCCCCACCAGTAGCACACAGCATACCCAGACACGGATCGGCTCCAGACAGGCTTGCAGGGCAATGGCTGCAGCATTTGGCTCTTTGTTTTTATCAGCAATTCCCACCCCAAGAGTCACTTTGCAAATCACGCCGAGGCTCTGGGGAAGGACACAGGCTCCGGGCAGCCCGGTAGGCCCACACACCAACCAGCGGCTCCTGCGAGAGGGGGAAATTTGGTAGCTTCTACAGGAGACTGCAAAAAAGCCTTACTCGGGGCTCCTGCAGGCAGTACCGACCTCTGGTTCCCAGCCCTGTTCAAAGGTGACTGGAACAGAGAAGTATTGCGGATGTTTAAGACGCCACAAAAAATCACCAGGTGCAAAGAAAGCACCAGAAAAAGACCGTGAGAAAGAAGAACAGGATGTGGGAAGTCATTTCACTCAGATGACCCCGAAGAGGGAAAGTCCTGATACAACACTAAGGAAAATATCTGAAGATTCACTGTCTTGCTTAAAATACAAACGAGATTCAAAATAAACCTCAAACCCCTGTGCCTCATGTAATTAGCAGAATGTGCTTTCAACACCCTTCTAGATCTCTTATCTCTGTATTTACTTGGGGTAGCTTGGACAGGTAAATCAGCCCTGGCAAGTTCCCCTTTAGTTTCTCAGGTGCTCACACAGTGGTTCAGCACCTGGATTATTTGTGGTGAAAGGTGTATGCTGCTCCGTACGGTTCTAGCAGTTTACGAACGGAGGGAGCAGTCAGACAGCCCTTGCTCGGTCCTCAGTTTAATGCTGGGAGATGCTCGGTGCAAGTATTCTCACCAGACAGGCCACAAAGACCTCTGCTAGCAAAGGCTTGCGCACAGAAAGAGTTAAGACCCTGAAAGCCGATGAGTGGTGATCCGGCTTGGTTTGGGTGTCTGCGCTTCACAAAGGCCATCCTACAAGAATGCTGAGGGAAGTGCCCCACTTTGCAAGGGTGACACTGATCTCCCCCAGCCCCAAAATCCCTGCTGGAGCCGAGTACCACAGCCCCACTCCAGCCCATGGGGGATAACCGACCGCAGCTTGGTCCAGCAGCCCACGCTGTGGAGAGGAGCCGAGCTGTCAGCCCATGAGACTCTGCTTTTCATTTAGCTGGCAACAACCGAAGGGCCTGAAGAGAAGCGAAGCCCTTCCTCCCGCACCGGCAAGGTGCAAACACAGCCCTCCTTCGGCTCCAGCCGCTCACTGATGGGAGCTGAAATCCTGTGCTGCGAGATGCACACCAGTTTCAGCCATCAGAGAAGAGCCACAGTGAAAATGGATGAGCAGCCAGCACGGGTGACCCATCCATACAAGCTGGAGCATTTGAGGGGTGACAGCTCAAAGAACCGAGGAAAGCTAGACCTCAGCTAGCAACAACTGCCAATCCTTCCTTCAAAGTATCTAGCTCCCTCCAGAGAGCCAGAGCCCACCCAAAGCACCCAGCCAGGAGAGGGTCACTGAAGAGAGATGAAGGGAAAGGACATGGCAAACAACCCTCACAAGACGAGGCTTAGCCGGATTTTAAATCGCTTACAGTCTGCTTGTGCTTCCAGTCCTCCAACATCGCAACAGTGAAGCCCCACAGCACCTCAACACGTGCAAAATGAACCTCTTCCGCGATTGTCCAGTGGCATCTCTGCTCTGCATCAGCGTTTAGCCTGACCAATAGCCTGGACACCACTCAAATTGCTAGTGTCACCCCGTTGATTTCAGATAGAGAGGGATCAATACAGTTCAAGGTATCAAAGGAAGGGGAAAGTAAAGTACTGATTTGGTTTTCGAAACATCTTCATAATGGATTTAAAAAATCCTTGATGAAATCTATGTCTTAGGGTTGGCTTTTTTCTGCTTGTTCACCTTAAAAATGTCCAACATGGACTTCCTGATTTTGTCAGAGAACTCACGAGGTCTCAGCCACACGCAGTGAGTCCTGTGGTCCCTCCTGGAAGGTGAAAAGCTTTGAACACAGAGCAGTTTTCCACTCTATGTTTACTGCATATTTCACATTTAATAAGGGTGTTCACAAGTCCCCTTTTCATTCATTCAGTCTCCCTCAAAGTTGTTTTCAAGTGTAACCAGAAATGCCACCAATCGCCTTTAATTTCCTCAACTGCAGTATCTCAACCTGACTGCTTTCTCCTGTTGTTTCAGGGAGACTCGTAGACAGGGACTAGATTTCAAGTGGGAGAAAAGAAGGGAAAAGCAGAGGAGAAGCCTTCTCATCCACTGTACGGGACACAAAGGCACAAACACACCTCTCACTCTAGGGAGAAGACCCTTGTAAAGTCTTCTGGGACAAAGAGACTCCTAGATAACAAAGGCCTGAGCCCAGCAGGTCTCTCAGACACATGCACAGTATTTAAAGGTGAATTATGGTTGTACCTGACTCCATTAGATGCAGACAGTCCTGTGCTGGGGCCCCCAGCTTGAGGCAAAGCCCAGGTGCTCTGTGCATTGAGTCTCAGCGTTGACCTCGCTCCAGACAAAGTCGGTTTGTTATAGGGCACGAAGCCGACGTTGGAAGAACTTACTGACGCTGTCCTACTGGAAACCTGATGAGTAGCGGAAGAGTTGGGAAAGTTTATCATGGAATGCCGGTAGCGCGTGGTGATGGGACCAGTCCCACCATTTAGCCAGCACTGCTGGCAGGAACAAGCCACCCCCGTGTGAAGGGGCGCCGGGGAGGCTGTCACCGGGTACGGGGCGTCCAAGCGCCTCTGAATGCCGCGGCGGAACCTTGTGGTCTTGTTGGTCTGGACTTGAGCCACAAAGTCAACTTCATAGTTGTAGCCCAAGGGTCCGAGATCTACTCGCTGGTGGTTCGTGGCACGGGCTTGCTCCAGGAACACGCAGACGTTCATCTCGTAGGGGGACCACCCGCCTTCATCATTCTGCCACTCCCAGACGATGCCCTGCCCGGCGGCAGAGTCCCCGGGGAAGAGGTGCCTGCGGACGGCCCGCATCGTCCCTGCGTGGGGAGGGGGGTGGGGGAAAAAAAAAAAATCATTTTGTGAGCAGAGAAGTAAGGGGGACCTGGTCTCAGGGACTTGTTTCTGCACAGATCTGTGGTGTCTACATCGGGTGGCCTTCCTCACCTCTCCCTCGGCAGGGGCACTAACAGACTTTCTCTTCCTGACAGGGCTGGGTTTGCTCGTGAAGCTTAGAGAAACGCAATACCCCCGAGATCCCTGTCCCTCTGCCAAATCTGACCGCGGGCTGGCAACAGGTTCAAAAGCTGCTGGGAGGAAGGGTGGGAAAGGAGGGAAGGAGAGAGGATGCAGAGACAGACACACCCAAGCACAAAGGCACAGTGATCACATACGCCTCCCTGACGTTAAAAAAAGTTAAAAAAAAACTCAGGCTGAGGCACAGATCTGGTTAAAAAAAAACAACTCCCACAGCCTTGACAACAGAGTAACTATAGAGACATGACACCATCGGGAAGTGCTTTGCAGAAGCGCTTAAGGGGCTAAACGCCCACTTTGCTACTCAAGGGTCTGGGCAATTCTGCTCTTGGGGGAGAGGATGAAGTCTCGCAAGGACGAGGACTTTGGAGAGGACAGACAGGGCCAGCTTCTCCAGGCTCCTGACTGCCGGGAGATATAGCAAGACTAGAGATGAGAAGACAACGAAGTAATTTGGAAACTGGAGAGAGCAGCTGTTCAGACAAAGGAAGAGAAATGAAAGCAGACACGCTGCTCTTGCAAGGCTGCTTGACAGCAACAGCAGGAGCTCGAAACCCCCTAGAAGCCTGGTTCTCCAGGGTGACTTCACTCCTGGTTACTTTACTCCTTTCTTTACAAAAGAAAAAGCCTAATGAGAGGGAGGTAAGCCACCCAACAGGACAGAAGCTCTGCAACCTCTGCAAAAACAGGTTCCTGCAGCAGGGTCAAGACTGCTGCTGCTGGGAAAATCCTTAGCAGCACTCCGCACTGAGAAAGGGGAGCGGGAAACGCTGCAGGGCAAGCAAGTCTGGGGACGCAGGCAGATGGGAGTGAACAGGGATGCAGCGAGTTGTTACGACACAGGAGGAGTTCAGAGAAGAATAGCACCAAGAGGAAAAAAAAACACCAATAAAGCCTCCTAAGAGGTCATGAGAGTTATGACCCTAAGCTCCAGGACCACAGGTAAAAAACAGTATCCGCACCTAAAGCCTGTGGAGAACTGCCCCAGGATATTGCTGGTGGCTCCATGGGGGACAGGCAGTCCAAGCAAGCTTTACGCCCAACAAGCACACCCCAAATAAGAGGGAGGAGAGCCCACGTGGGACTCCACACTGCCAAAACCCAATTGCTACCTGTGTTCAGGCTCTGGCTGGCTGACTGCTGGCCCGAGTATCTCTGCCTCACACTGCTGTCCTTGCTACCCCATAGTATTGGGATACTGCAGAAACTACTAGGACTTGACTCAAACCATAAGGGCATTAAGTGCCTCCTCGCTGCTAAGAATTCGGCTCGACAGCATGAAAGTCACATCTCTGCTCCTATCACACACCTGGGCTTCTTTGTAAATGGTGCTGGTGGTTTCTGCACAGCACTTTGGCAGTCAGACCGTAACAAGACCCTGTGCTGGGGTGCAGGTATGTCCCACGTGTCATTGCAGAAACGACATCAGGAAAGACAGATCTGAGCTCCAGAGCTGACATAAAGGCTGAGGCCCTCTCAAAGGCAGAATGTGCCATACCAAGGAATGGCAGGACTCGCGTTTCTGCTGGGAAGCTGAAGGCACTGGGGACTGGAATGGCTTCCCTCAGCCCGTGCAAGGGATGAGCAGCCAGGAAAGGTCCGGCACTTACTCCCAACACCTGCTTCGGCAGCTGGAGCAGCACCAAGCGTCCTGCTTATTGCAGAGCGGGACTCTCCAGTGACACCATCCAGCAGCAACATCTCATCAGCACACCTAAAAAGCTACTAGCAGCCAGTGAAACACAGCAACCTCCCCCGTAAGAACCGGGATCGAACCCCAGTAGCTCAACCACGAAGCCCAGGGATTCCTGTGGGACAAGACCTTCCTCTGGCAGAAGTCAGGGCAGAAGGTGTCAGCAGAACCAAGCTGACCGTCCCCAGCCAGGAATCGACATCTTACGTGGGAAAGCAGATGAAACAGCCAAGAGCAAACCCTAGCAACGACTGCTCCTATCCAGCAAACAAGTCCTGCCAAATTTTAGAAACACACAACCTATGGCCTCAGTAGGTGGGCAACATCAGGGATGACCCCCTGAGCAGAAGGAGGACTGAAGATGAGACTGGGCTGGAAGTGAGAGGTGAGAAATGAACTACATTTAGAGATGAGTGCAGGGAACCTGCTCCCAGGAGAAAGGGGACTACCATGGGTAAAGCAAGGTGTCAGAAAGCCCAGCGGGACACATCTCGGAGGAGATTAGCAAGGCTGCCCTCGCTCCATTGGCAGGTCAGAAGCTAAAAGCAGCACAGAGAAGACTTGAGGAGTTTGTAAGCCACCTGTATTTTTAACATCCCAAAACAGCAGCAGGGAGAAGAGCTTTTAGGAGTCAATAACAAGACCAAAGCCATGCACTTGAAAAACATCCCCCTTCCCCCAGGCTGGCAGGGAAACTGGCATTCCTCTCCAGGGTGGGCAAACAGCTGTGGCGAGAGGACAACTCCAGCTGCTCCCTTGCATTCACTCCCAGCTAGTCTGCCTCGACCAGCAGCTGAAGCCCGCAGCTAATCTCGCCCACAAGGTCCCCCTGCACAGCTGTCACTCCCTGTTGGTGGGGATGCTGATCCTGTTAACACTGGCTTCCTGTTATTCTCCCTGGCTTCCTTTGAAGAGCCTATTTGTCTGTCTAATAGCTAATGAGCAGAATACAACAGCCTATTTTTTGCTCTGTTTAAAGATTTTTCATGGGGATGTTTCCTGCAGAGATTCTTCTCTCCAGCACATGACAAAGGTCAGCTGGCTGCTCGCTCAGAAAGGTTCACGTTTAAGGCAGAGCCCTGCAGAGAGAAAAAGCTTTGCTTAGAACTGGGCCACTGAAAGGGGATATGAGAGCGTTTCCAATAGTCACGTTGCAGAGCACACAGATACTTGTGGAGGGAGGCTCACAGACCTGGCCGCTCTGATCAGCATCCCTCCAAATTGGTGGGAAACACTGCGGGAGAGCTGTGAAGTGGAATCAGCCTTTTTGTTATTAACAACTCAACCACAGATCTCGCCCAAGGAAAGATCAGATCACGTCAGCCAACATCATTTCCAAAATTGTATTGGGCTGTCCCCCAGAGATCACAGAATCATAGAATAGTTTGGGTTGGAAGGGACCTCTAAAGGCCATCTAGTCCAACGCCCCTGCCGTGGGCAGGGACATCTTCAACCAGATCAGGTTGCTCAGGGCCCCGTCCAACCTGACCTGGAACGTTTCCAGGGATGGGGCATCCACCACCTCTCTGGGCAACCTGGGCCAGTGCTTCACCACCCTCAGCATAAAAAATTTCTTCCTTATATCTAGTCTAAATCTACCCCCCTTTAGTTTAAAGCCATTCCCCCTTGTCCTGTCTCAACAGGCCCTGCTAAAAAGTTTGCCGCCATCTTTTTTATAAGCCCCCTTTAAGTACTGACAGGCTGCAATAAGGTCTCCCCGAAGCCGCCTCCTCTCCAGGCTGAACAACCCCAACTCTCTCAGCCTTTCTTCAGAGCAGAGGTGTTCCATCCCCCCATTATTTTCGTGGCCCTCTTCTGGACCCGCTCCAACAGGTCCATGTCTTGATGACCAACTCCAAACCATCCTGTGATAGACAATATTCGCTAGGTGTTTTGAGGTCTTTCACAAGGGTTTGAAGAGATACAAGACCTTTGCGGAGAGACAGCTCCACTTGTGGAGAAGGATGTCCCATTCACATTGGGACACATCTTTCAGTCTCACACAGGCGCTCTGCTCTCCCGCACCAAACCGGGCCATTTCCTGACAAGGGACAGCCGGGACTGCTGCCCATGCGTTGGAGCACTGGCTGAAAGGACAAGAGGCTGGAAGGTTCCTTCACAAGTTTGGCGTGAAGAAAACAAGAAAGAAACAGCCACTGGTGCCAGCTTTGGTGGTCCATGCTGTATTGCTCGAAGCCTCAGCAGGGCTTCCAGGTGCTCAAACGGCAGGTCTGGCTCACCATGGCCTAAGGCATCCAGCTAAGAAAGCTCCTCACCCGCAACACCCCTAGGAAAAACTAATCCTAAAGTCACCAAGTCAGAATAAAAACACGGATGCAGCTGTGATGACCACTCGCATTTGCTCCAACCACTTCCCTTTCCTGTAGGAATTGCCCGATCGTGCAGTTGATTCAAGATATTGCTCACTTACTGCTTCAATTAGCAAGAAACCAGAGCACTGCCCATCTCTAAAGCTTGGGGTGATGCTTGCCTGTGTCCTGGGGTGATGGGAAAAATGTTGGCAAAGGGGAAACCGATGCACAGAGAATTTTCCAAAGCAGCCATTCATTCGGGGTGTGTAATTTGGGATCTCCCTGGATTTTCCAGAGATGAAGAGCATGCATTCCACCCCTGCCCCCTTTCTAAGCTACAGCTGCTCAGCACATCTGGAGCAAAAGAGGGTAGGAGTCATCTCAGCAAATTCTGAGCTGCTAGCCTCAGTGACCCCAAGAGAGACGAGATGAGAATGAAAATTAGGTCTCAATCCTGCTATTAAGACCAGTCCGCCCTTCCTCCCTGGGAGGAAGCAAGCCAGCCTCATACAGCACAAGTACGGGGAATATTCTGCTGCAGCATTACGGCGTTCTGCGGGGGCTGCAGGCTTTCGCTAAGCAGCTTGCACAGGGCGGCATGCCAAGGTAAAGCAGCTGGCACTCCAGCCGCAGAGGGAACAAGGGATTCAAACGGGAGGGTTTGAACCGTAAAAAGGCCTTTTTATGTGAGTGGTCTTTAACGGATGTGGATGGGGACAGGAAGAAAGTTTGCAGCTCCGAGGGCTCCGGCTCACAAGCTCAGAGCTCCAGAGGTCCCGTGATGAAGCTCCTTAAGAGACCACCACCGCCTGCCTGCACCCAGCCCCGCAGATTCACACCAGCCAACACCGATTTGCTCACGTGCCAATACGCTGGGCAGCAGGCAGCATCAGGAGAGAAGCAGACACGCCACCCATCAAAGAACTGCCCAGCAGTGACAGCAGAGCTTTGTAGGGCTCCCCTGTGCAGAACAAGGTCCCGCTTATCTCCAAGCGTGCAAGCAGCCTCATCAAAACCCCAGCACAGGCAGGGAAGCTCCCTTACCTGTATCCTGCCGGAACTGCGTCAAGCTTGGGATGTCGATGACATAGGGGGCCAAGACAGGATCCGCGTGTCCCAAAGGGATGCTGCTGACAAGCCCTGACCCCGAACG